TTTTTTTTTTAAAATGTTGATTTGTCTTTTTTCCAGGCACAACGTTCTTAAGGCAACAGTCTTCCCTTTCTCCTAAGGATTGTGGTAGTGATTTCGTGTATTCACCCTCAGAACCAGGTGGACTAAGTGGTTCAAGATCTTGGTTTGCGTATGACGAACTTGTCCAAGCAACAGATGGGTTTTCGGCACAAAACCTGTTGGGTGAAGGTGGATTTGGTTGTGTCTACAAAGGCTTTCTCATGGATGGAAGAGCAGTGGCTGTGAAACAGCTCAAAGATGGAGGCGGGCAAGGGGAGCGTGAGTTTAGAGCAGAAGTTGAAACTATTAGCCGAGTACATCATCGCCACCTTGTTTCCTTGGTGGGCTACTGTATATCTGAGCATCAGAGATTGCTTGTCTATGACTACGTTCCCAACAATACCCTTCATTACCATCTCCATGGTAAGATGTATATCGGGTTAAATGATTGAATAAATAAAAATAAAAATCTTAATTAATTCAACACAAATTCAGAACTTCAATAGAATTAATATTAGGTTTGATATCTTCGTGATGCAAACCATTGAAAAATTATCATTATGAAGATTATTCACTTGCTTGATAACTAATGAGAATGAACTCTATTATAATTATTGTTATCTGTTTAAGTTTGATCTAAACTTAAAGAAATACTTAAAATATAATGCATCCTTTGTCTTATTGTTACTCAATTTGGTGTTAATTGAACAGAAACTGACTGTTTCAATTTACTTTCAAATCCAAAGCAGGTTGTTCTTAAATATCCAGTAAATATGCTGTCATATATTCATGCTTTCAAAGCACAATTAAATCCTCATCTGTCTTGATCTGAAACTGAAGCTTGACATGTATATTTAACATTTTGCAGGTCAAAACGGGCCAGTTATGGATTGGGCTACAAGAGTGAAGGTTGCAGCTGGTGCAGCTCGTGGAATAGCTTACCTACATGAAGACTGTATGTTTCTTCTACCTACCTAGTTTTATTCAGTGCACATTCCATGTTCTGAAGTTCTCAAATGTGAGAAGATAGGCTTGATTTAGAGCACTTCCGTGGTAACATGTTTTCTATAGTTGCACAAACTTTTTAGCATGTTTTTCCTTTTAATTTTAAAATGAAGATTCCCCCCCCCCCCCCAATTTAGCCCATATGTAATGTAACTGAAACATATATAACATTTAATCAAGTAAATAGAAACTTGGAAAATTTTCCAACTGCAATGAAGCTGGCCACATCACCTAACTTTGGCTTTTGGAGTCGAGCTTCTTTTTCTGATTTTGTTTGATTGACTTTTCAGGCCATCCCCGCATTATTCACCGAGACATAAAGTCATCAAACATCCTTCTTGATAACAAATTTGAAGCTCAAGTAAGCCACTTTCATACTTTGTATATTCTGACGTGATCACTGTGATTTACATTCATTTAATTGTTAGCCTCAACAGCTGATTTTATTGAAGCAATATTATAGCAGGGAATGACCAAAGTTATCCAGTGTATTGACAATACGTTGCTTACCAAATTTATCCTGTTTTCTTCTTAATGAAACTCAAGATTCTTTTTTGCGATCTGATCAACAGGTTTCCGACTTTGGGCTTGCAAAATTAGCAATGGATTCATATACACATGTAACCACACGAGTCATGGGGACCTTTGGGTAGGTAAACCACATTGCTGGTTAAGCACCATTCATTTAATTAAGTGCATAGTAATAAATGATATGATTATGCTTTTAAATCTTATCATTTGCTCATGTGTATCCTTATTGGAATACATGCATCACTTCCATCGTTTGCTAGTACCTATTGTCTTGGCATCCGGTACCTGGAAGAGCGAGTAGTTGAGCACAGTCTGTGAATAGAGTTATCAACTATTATAGTGCTTTGTTTAAATCCTAATTGGAAATTTATTTGTGATTTGGAGTTGTTCCTCTTTGCGGCTGTGTCGTATTGGTCCTGGGTCTACCATGTAGTGTTGTCCTGTTAGTTATACAGATCCTAGTCGTCTCGTCATGTTCATTTCCATTATGAAAGGTAGCACTATGAAGTTGAGCTTCAACTCATTTGGTAAAAAAATGGGGTATAAGTATATTCTCTTCCGTTTTGTCTCATCGTCGGTTTGTTTGAATACCAGGTACATGGCACCTGAATATGCAACAAGTGGTAAACTGACTGAAAAGTCAGACGTTTATTCTTTTGGGGTTGTGCTTTTGGAGCTGATTACAGGTCGGAAGCCTGTGGATACCTCTCAGCCCACCGGTGATGAGAGCCTGATTGAATGGGTGAGTTACATAAAACTAAGCATTAACATAGCTATGCCTTTTTATTATTGTTGGTCTTCATCTTACCAATGTAAACTACCAAAGACCAAATTGAGCTCAAAAGATTATTAAGCTTTTATGAAAGGGCCAATAAACACTTTGCTTTTCACTTTTTATTTTTTAATTTTAATAGGTGGGAGAAAAAAAACAATTGCATGCCATTTGATAAGAGTTCCCTCAGTTGGCCCGGAAAAAAAAAAAAAAAAGAGGAAAAAAGATTACAAAGTACCCTTTGTTTTGGCTCTTTATATGATTATAATATGCATATCTCTATAAATGATAGAACATGGGACTTGGGACATGGATATATGGCACTGGATCTTGTGCTTAAGTTTAGCTTTTTAGCCTAAGGGTATATAGTTATGTTCTAGCGTGGGTATGCCCTCATATGCACTGAAATGCATGGTTTTGGGGAGCGAAGGCACTGGTATGAAGGATGGGGGAAGAAAAACAGAGAGGCTTTCAGGTTAGAATTTGGGATGCCAAAGATTGAAATATTGACCACCTGGCCAAAAAGGCTGATATTCACGGACGGACAGACGGAGGCAAAGGGTATGTAGTTATGTTCTAGCGTGGGTATGCACTCATGTGCACTGAAATGCATGGTTTTGGGGACGGAAGGCACTGGTATGAAGGATAGACATTATTATATATGTGTAGAGTTAGGTAAGTGTGGAGTATCTCTGTGTTATCAATTTATTAAAGCAGTTATGTCATTGATCAATGTTAACTCTTCATTAACAAAAAGTGTATGATACTTAACATTTTTTTATTATGTAAGTCAATATATTTTTTTTCCTTTGATAACTGGGAGAACATTCGTATGAAGTTGTGAGTGACTTTAGAAATTAGTGAGTGTGCGTATATGTATATTTGCTATAGAATTTGTAGATGATATTAACTAAGATTTGTTCCATGTCAAACATTTCTTTACAGTTTATATCTTACACACAATACTGTGTGGAGCTAGGTCTCATGCTCCTTGGGTGTAATTTGAAATTACAAATAGACAAATATGAAAAGAATAGGAATTATATATCTATTAAATTAGATGTTACATGTCTATGCAAGATTATATATATTTACTTCTGTTCTATTTGTGTCATTTAATATATATCAAATAATGTTGATCTTTATATTATTGCGACATATAGGATCCATTATTCCTGATTTGTGATGATATTTACTGCTGGTGAAAGGAAAATTTGCAAGCAGTCGTGTTATGAAATTGCTTGCGGATGTCAATCTCATATCACTACTTGCATTTTCATTTGATATGTCATTGTTAGAGGGAGAAGGAAAGGGAACAAAAGCAGATTAAAAATGCTCATTTCAGTAATAAGCTAACCTATTTTCTTCAGGCTCGACCACTATTGAATCAAGTGCTTGAAAATGAAGACTATGATATACTGGTAGATCCACGACTCGAGAAGAACTATAATAGAAATGAAATGTTTCGGATGATAGAGGCTGCGGCTGCCTGTGTGCGTCATTCTGCCGCAAAAAGACCACGAATGAGTCAGGTAGCTTGTTAAAAAATATATATATTGGACTTGAATTGTGTAATCTTGTTCTCTTGGAACATTCCATGCATGTACCTCTTCTTCAGAGATATTTACTGTGCATGCTTCCTTGTGTGCATCGTTTCCTAGGTCGCAAGAGCTTTGGATTCAATAGATGAGTTTTCCGATCTCTGCAACGGAATAAAACCTGGCCAGAGTACAACCTTTAATCCTTCACCACCATCCGCTCAAGTCAGAATGTTTCAAAAGATGATTTTCGGTGGGGCCAGTCAAGATTTCAGTTCCAGTTTCTTTAACGATTCTCAGAGTAGCTGGAGAAGCAGAGAACAGGAGGACTCAAAACACCATGATCTCCCAAAATAAAGTGATATTAATTCTTTTACAATAATGATCTGGTAAATTATATATAGATTTTTTATTGTGAGGGAAATTAATATATCTACTTACAAAATGCCCATTCCCACCTATGCCTCGCCATGTTTGGAGAAATTCTGATGCACACAGGTGACATGCCTCTAACTTTTTTCTGGAGAAGCTTCAGCGTTTGTTCTTAACAGTGTTGGAGCTCTCACTTCAATTCGTGCAAGACCAAGTGCTGGGGCGTTTTTTTAATGTAAATAGGATCTCTAGGCTGATTTTTTGTTTTCCTCTTCATACATGGTTTTCCTTACTGTAAAGTTCTTATTCTGTATAACCTTTTAAGTTTTTTCCACATAACACAGATGTAGTGAAAATGTAATGCCTTTTGTTTTGCTTTATAATGTGAAAATGAGGCACCAGACATTGACGTTATACTGCTCTCAATATTTCTTTCATGCCCATCCAGTGTATCCATGACCATAATGAACATACATTTGAATTCTAATTGCGTCAAATTAAGTTTATTTGTGCGTCAACTAAACGGTCATGATGTGGAAATTAATCTAACTTCTGTTTAAAGTCTTACTCCCGCCATATCCGCCTATTTTCTTGACGGGTCAAGTTAGTAACTTTTTGACATGTCCACCTTGTTGTTGAAAGTTCATACAATGAAGTGATCGGCCCACGAATTTTCTAATTTAACAGTACAATGATTAAGACTAAGTTTCATTGTTAATGAAAACGACTCTACTAGAAATAAATCTAGAGCAACCAGAATCCAATAGAACTACAATTATTGGAGATCTATATTAATCAACACAACACAAAAAATGACAAGAATGTTAACCACAGCTTCAAACTGTAAGAACTACTCGACCAGAAGTCTCCTAGGGACTGACTACAGGGCTAAGTTAATGACATATTAAACAACTGTAAACAACTTATATGTACAACTGTGCGATTAAGGCTTTAGAATTGTCTGAACGTAAGATTTAGGCGACCAGGACGAAGCCCTGTAGCTTCCAACAATTCCCTTGGAGCTGAATTTGGAATGATACACGAAACACCATGAAACACAAGTCGAGATTCACCACCAAATATCAATACATCTCCTGATTCTAAAAGAACCTTCTCTGCCTTCTCCACGTCCCTCTCATCCCCATATAGAAATTCTGCAGAATCTCCCACGGAAAAGGACACAACAGGCAATCCTCTACGCAGAGACTCTCTACTTTCATCACGATCCTGCATAGTGTAATTTCAAAATTTAATCTGGTGTCTCGTCATTTTTGTGAACATTTCATACTCCTTTATTGTAAAATGTAAGCTTTGTTTCAAAAAACTTTAGATGTAAAATCCAAGTATACTATACTCTCTGAATTAGCATTGCATAGAAAATACAATAAAAATTTAGAAATAGTAAGAGAAAAAGGGGGATGATGCAAAGTTTACAAGAGCTGACCTGATGAAGACCAAGCCTTCCATGGGCAGAATAAAAATTGACTATGCATATGTCTGGAGACATTGAAGGGAGTATATCTTCCACATTGGTTACGCTGAATTTCTTCTTGCAGAGATTCTGTGCCTCTTTAATTGCCATACTGGCCAAGCCCTGGAACATGTTAGGAATATTTGGGGGTTCATAACCGTCAATCAATCGTTTATTTCCATATTTTCTGGTCTGAGGATCCCAGTCCAGACCAAGACACATCATTTGCAATCGGAGTTTTGCCCCATCCTTGTAACCTGGCTGGTAGAATCCCCTGGGTCTCCGGCCAAGCTTACGACAAGTCCTAACTAATTCGACCTAAAACAGTTAGAAAAATGGTGAGTATCACACATTTAAATCATTAGATTTATGATATGTAAAATGACCCGGATTTTCAATATGATTTCAAAAAGTCACGTTTTCTTTCAGGACAAGGGCAGTGCAGAACAACAGGTGAGGAAGATAATGTCTTCACATGAAATAGCCTTTCAAGAAAAAAAGTTGCAAAATTTGAACTATTTATCTGCCTAATTTGTTTCCACAGTGGAATATCCATCATCAAACATCAATATCGAATTCGTGTGACTTTTTGGATGAGTATAAAAAGTACCTGATTCTTGGGGGATAAGTAATGTTTCAACAGAACCATCCCAGGCTTCAGTATCATCTTCTCTGCTAATCCCTCCTGCATCTCAGTGCACCTTCCCTTGTTTGAATGCAAAGAACTATTCAAACCAGAATTACGCCTTCTATGAACACAGATGTCAAAAGGTTTAATATCTGGTGGATCTACCTTGTAACCAGCCAGGGCATTATTCAAATTTCTTTGAGCAGAACGCCTCTCGACATAACCAACCTCACTGTTCTTCCCTAAATGATTAGGGAAAGATGATTTCTCTTGATATCTTGTAATGTTTGATGATCGAGATCTCTCAGCAGGGGACATACTATTATGACTTGCAGAACTAGGACTAAAACCAGGCAACGGGTTTTTATCCGTATTTGTGTGCATTAAGCGTATGTTTGATTGTACAGAATGAAGAGGATTTGACATAATCCTAGATTCAGTACATGTGTTGCTAATAGTTAAGAAGGGGCGTGACGAAGAACCATGCAGATTCGTATTATTTGGTAGTGGGAGTGTTACGGGAAGAGAGCCAATCATTATACATTTTCCTTGACATGGTTTCTTTGGAGGTACTTGCATCATAGTGCACTCTTCAGTATTGCCACAAAATTGCGGACCACAACCTGCAAAACCATCCTGCAATTCGAATCCAGTATAATTGTTTAAGTTGTTGAAATTATCTGAAGAAGTAAGGTTAAAATAATGAATCCCTAAGTTGAGACAGTCACAAGATAAGAATCTGATATATAACTATAGTTTTAGATAAAATTTGGTTAGATTTGTTAATTAAATATAAGACCCTTATACACACTAGTATAAGGGTCTTGTATTCAGGACTGGAGGAGTATATAATTAAGAGAGTTTAGATGGGATTTAATTATATTAATAAGATTTGGATTAGATATTTACTTAGGATGAGGATTACCATTCATGGCTCATAATTTCAGTTTCTCTTCTTCTCTTTTTCCCACGCTCTCTCTCTCTTTCACTTTTCTTTCTACAATTCCCTCTGCCATTTGAAGGTAGTTTCACAGAGAAATGCAAATCCAGTAAATCTCTATACAACCTACAACCTAGTTTCAGATCACAAAAGGAGATAGAATCACGTAATAATCCGGCTTAAAAAATGGATTATATAATCCCAGAGCACTACATGATTATCATTAAACAAGATTGTCCCAACTGAAGTGCAAGTTATCAGAACCATGGCCTTTGGTCTACATGTAGTAAAGTCATTATAATTCTGCACTAAGCATTGAGAATTAAGAAAATCCCATTAAGAAAAGAAGTTCGCTCTTTCTGGCATTTTACGTTCGAATTCTTCACATTCAAACTCAAAACGAAAAATAGAAAAAGGTAAACACTTACAGAGTCCTCAAGAACAGGTTTAGCGCTATTCCAGCCGTTGCTCATCATCGCCGAACGCGGAAAACTAAGAGAAATTTGGCGGAAAACGTAGCGACCCAACGACGGCCGAGAAAGAAACGACAATGGCAGAGTGAGAGTGTTCATCATTTGGCGATTAAAGATACTTATGATCATGGTAAGCCAAGCGTTCTGAACTTCGGCGTTCGAGACTCTCGGTAAACGGAATCAATTAAACGTGAGAAGCAGTGATACCGAAGCGTTGGAAGTCACGGCTTCGCTATCTGTTCCGGCAAGAGTTGATGTGACGCGGCGTTGCAGTGATCCAGGTAATCGGAGTTATCGATGAAAAAAGAAGTAAGACGATTCGAGAAAGCGCAAAATGATGGAGCAATCTAGCATTAATTAATGATTAATTATCAGTAATTAATTATTTTTTTAAAAAAAATATATCTTTCACACGAGAACCTCATTCACAGTTGCCCACAGGAATCTCAGATAATAGAGCTGTTTTGGTAAACCACCGCCATTTTGGGCCGCTGTGGTTTTGTTCAAGCATGGGAATCGGGAATCCTTCAATCTGTTTTCTTTCGTGGATGGTTGGGGATAATGATGTCTCAATCATTGCAGGTAATTCGTCCCCATCTTGGCATCAAGTTCCGATCGTGCTTTGGGCATTTCGAACTTTCTTCAAATATGTTTTCTGTTCTGTTATGAATGAACCATTGGAAGAAGAAGATCAATCACCGCCCCTATACGAAGATCAACACATGGCAAATGTAGTGGGAGATATTAGAGAGTACATATGAATAACTAAGCTTCGGAGCATAAAGAACGGAGGAAAGATATCTATGGAGGAAGAAAACTGTGCCCTAAAACAAAATGAAAATGCATTCCTGCACGGAGAATTATCTGGGGAGTATGTATAATTATACATGGATCAACTACAGGGATGCAAGAGCAAGGAGCACCGATCCAAATATAATGCGAACTAATTTTCAATCTTCACCTGTACTCGAGGAGGCCCTTTCAATTTAGCTTGCTTGGTTTATAAATATGAAAGAATTGAGCTTTGAGCAGGAATTACTTGCGGCTACATATTGTAGCCCATAAGGTATATGATTCGCCAATCCTTTCCCATAGTTTGGATTCCATGGCTCCCCATTCCTCTTTTTCCTCTTTAAAATTTATTTTAGATGCATGCAGCTCTTGAATATTTCAACGGAATCATCTTTTATGACTCTTTCTTTCAAGATTTCTCTTTAATGTTGTTTGCCCTAAAGCAATGGATTATCTTGCTTGATTTGTGGTATAATTAAAAAAACACGACAATAAGCTTATCCAAAACACGAGTTGGATTCAAAATAAAAAAAAGACGGAGTTTTAAGGACTAAAGATTATAACTTCTAATAAAGAACTAAAATGATTTTTTTTATTTAAAATAAATTAGGCAATGGATTTTAAATTGATAGTAATTTTATATCAATAATTTTAAAAATAAAGCAAAAGGCTAAAAATGAATAAAAAGACATCATCTAACGAACTAATCAATCCATATATTATTAATATCAATATTGTTATTATAAATATAAAATTTATGACAAAAAGCATACTATTCATAAATTATAAATGGGAGAATTACAATCAAGTCCCATACAAAAGAAATAAGTAAATAACTACTAAAAGGTCTAATAATAATTTGAGCAACCTGTAATGACAAGTTCTAGAGTGAAGAATAACAACCTCTAAGACTTATTTTGTAATTTTTTCTTTTGCATGAGATCTTATTGTAATTTTTCCATTATAAATTGTGTATCAAACTTTTCAAATCTTGTAAAATAAAAAGTCATCAAACTCTTTTTCACGATGCAAAATAACTTGTAAACTGTTATAAATAAAGAAGAAATATAAAGAAGAATCATACAGAGGAAGAGAGGATCAACAAGAGAGAGTATTTCTCATTTCTTTAAAGAGTACTCAATACATTATACATAGCCTCTATTTATAGGCACAGCTTTACATCTTTGATAGAATCTACAAATTACATAATAATATGAGATAATTGTAGGATATAGAGATAATAGGAGATAATAGAGATTATAGGAGATAGAAGAGATAATGAGAGATATATAGACATTCACAAAGATATTATTATATTCATAACACTCCCCCTTGGATGTCCAATATATATGAATGTTCCTCGTTAAAAAACTTCAACTAGGAAAAACCCTGTGGGACAAAAACCTAACGAAAGAAAAAGAGTACATCATTCATTGATACACTATGCAATATTGCCTCATTAAAAACCTTGCTAGGAAAACCCAGTGGGACAAAACCATAGATAAGGAAAAAAGAGTACAGCGTGTCTCAACTCCTCCTTTTGGCAACATCAGTTGACATCTTTGAGCCTACAAAGGCTAATATAACAAACAACCCTTCTAAATATTGTAATGAGATAAAAACATCAAATATGAATTTTATGATCTTTTGAAAATCATGAGATGAATGGTCCTTTTATGGTTTATCTACACGTGGGTCATACTATGATCTCTTGACATGAGGATCAAACAAAAATACTTTATCTGTATAGCTATTAAGATTAGTCTTGGGTACCTTCAAATAAAATAATATTACCTCCATGACACCCTTAAAGTAATAAAGAATATTTTTAATTCCATTCCAGCATCTTCATGTTGATAAAGAACTATATCATGCTAATTAGCAAGTGATGTATCAGATTATATATGGCTAGATATATAAATGCTTCAGTGATACTAAGATATGGTACTTCTGGACCAAGTGTTTATTCATTACTTTCTGGAGGTCTAAATCGATATTTAGTCCATATCTAAAGATCTTACAACTACTGAAACATATAATGGGTATTGCTTATCCACATAATGGATGTGACTTATCTATATGTATTCTTCTAAAAGCTTTCATTTCAATTTTTTTTAAAAAGTAATTCGCAACTTTTGAAAACTCATCAGGAATTCTGATACTCTCATTATAAATAGTACTGATAACAAACTCATTTTGAATCTTTTCACAAACAGACAAGTTGGAATAAGTTTACATCATTCCTTCAATTGATATTAACCACATATGTCTCATATAGAGACTTACTTCAATAGTATTCTTGAAAACATAATTGTATGCTTCTAGAAACTTAAATCCTTCAAGGATTTTCATACATTATGATCCATGTCTATTCATGTATTGGATCGTTTATATTTATACAAAGATTTGAATCCTTCTGGGATTCACATATAGTTTCACTATATAGTGAGTTACTGAATTGTATTTTCTAAACACATATGAGATATTTTTATATATTATCAAACTATCAGATTGATAAGATACATAAAAATTCTAATTCACCACAAGACTGTATTTCTCTTTTCTTGTACAAATGCCCATTACACTTCAAGTGCTTGGGTTACAATGTTACGTCTTTTCTTTTCTATTGACCAACCATTTTTCTGTCTGTATCTCATGACAGATTTATATATAAGATCCTCATTTGATCACATGATATCATCAATAAAATTATTGTCGACAATTTTATTCCTTATCGGTCCCCTTTTCTTTTATCACATATCGAGATCTTTATTGCTTTCAGACACTTAAACCTCTTCAAGGGTCAAACAATTGTATCTTAATCTCTTTTGCAATTCATGCCTCCTTAGTATGATCATCATGATCATTTGTTCCTTTTTCTTTTCTTTGGAACCTATCATAATCTCATGCTTTTAGCATGTCTTCAAGAATATGAGCACTTTTAGCTGGAATATAAGAATTAAGAATTCTCATTTTGATCAGTAATTACATCTGGCAGATATTAATAATATTTTATGAATGCAATACTTTATGAACTTCTAGTTCATACTACTATATTTGAGGATCTATATTTGATAGCAAAAATACATTTTATGCATTCTCTTTTCCAGCTACACATTTTCTCCCACTCATATTGGGAAAATATAATGTAGATCTTCTAAATCCATAAATCTCCTTTAGAAACATTATTTTGTTTCATTTAGAGACAAACAAGAATAAGGAGATTCTATCCAACATTGATCCCAACTTACTTTTAATATCCATCTATGTGCGTTACTGCGGTGGTGGAATAATAGATATCACATATTTTAAAATGAAAAATGTCTGGCTCCTGACCAAAGCCTATTATAATGGGAGAATTCACAATATATTGTTGGCTTGATGCATTTATGTGCAAAAATATATAAAATCAATCATCCCAACACTCAAATGGGAATTTTGTTCTCATAAACTCTGATATAGCTACTTATGGAGGCTTTTATAAAGCATATAATCATCAACAACATGAGGAACATTCATTAGCAATTCAACGAGAATCATATTGATTTCATAATCAAGAACTTATGTACTCAATGTAATTATCTGAACATATTTGCAAACTTCAAGTTGCAAGTTGATCATAAACACTAGTGACCATTTTATAGATGCATCTTTCACTTACAGAGTATTACTTTGGTTCACGTGGTGTCTAAATGGGCCTATAAATAAAGTTGATACATTATAAATCTGTACGGATCTGATTTTGAGCATTGCTAGTGATGTTCTCTTTGAGAACAAACAACACATAAAAATTCTTAAATTATATTATCATTTTTAAAGAATCTTCTGGTTCTCTAATAAATGACAATGCACATTTTTCATGATATTTTGCATATTATGATCCGGGATGATTGACCGGTCATGCCAAACTATATATGTATAAACTTCTGGTTTATTATAAAATTATTCTCAATCATTAGTAAACTTCTTGTTACCATGTCATATTATTCATTTTTTACCTTAATATTTCATAAGGAATATGCTATTAATTATGGATTTTATCTTCAGGATAATAAATCATGATATAGCTCTTCTATGGCGTTATTTTTCATCTTTTACCTAATGGTAAAAACTTGTGCACTCATAGAAGGTTGAGCGCTACTGACTCTTTTGGAGCTTTTTCAAAAAGAATATGAGATATAAGGAATGACATTAATATTAATAATAACAAATTTCATCTAACATAATTCGCACTTGTATTTCAACAATCTTCCCCTCAAGTGTGAGTCATATAAATATATTTTTCTTATTTCTATATTTCAAATAGAGTGAATAGAGTAAGCTAATAACATATCTTTAACTTGAAAATCCAAATGCTTCCTAATTCAGATATAATAATGAATTTCAATCCAATTGCGCTATCACCTTAAAACCTTTTGATAAACAAATATTCTAATATATA